CTCAATGAAAAACTAAACTCGTTACTCATAAAACTAAAATATGTTGCATAATCTTATCGTTAAATACAATAGTAATTAAAAGTTAATCCGATAATAGTGACGTAAGAACATAAATAAAATAACATAACATAACCTAACCTATGGGAATGAGCACCTAACTTTACACTTGGGGATATGAAGACGATCGAGTACACTGTCTGCTATACTGTCTCCGAGGCTTAGTATACAGTGTGTTATATCTACAGTATACTGCCTTTACTGATCTGATAGTGGATAATTTTTTTCGCATATGAGGGATTTTTTTTTTTTTTAGGTGTATTTGATTTGACTTTAGCTCAGGTAATGGCCCAATTAAAGATACAAATTTAGTCTTGATGTTTGACTTTTATAAATTGATTCCAAATATCCCATTTTTTTGGGGGGGGTTGACCTCATTCCATTTTCTATGTTGATATCACACCCCATTTTCTATGTTATCACACCCCATAACCTGTGGCTGGTGTTTATGTCGTGTGGCGTAAACTGAGAACACAATCTTCCAACGAGGTTCACCCAAAGTCTCAGAAGACACACACACACACACACACACACATACTGTAGTCTCAGGGCAATTAGGTTAAGGTTAGGTTAGGTTAGGTTAGGTGTGTGTGTGTGTGTGTGTGTAAAGAGGGCGGGCGGTGTGTGTGTTATACCTGTCCAGTGATTCTGACGACAGGTAAGGTAAAGGGTCCGTCCACCTGGCAGGAAGGTTAATTTGTGTATTAGAAGAGACAGACAGACAGACAGACAAACAGACAGGCAGGCAGACAGGCAGGCAGACAGACAGGTAGACAGACAGGTAGACAGGAACAGATACAGTGAAGACAAAAACGTAATCTCACTATCACCACCATCATCACCACCACCACCAACACAACCACTACTATCACCACCACTACCACTACTATCACCACCCCTACCACCACTATCACCACTATTATCACCACCCCTACCACTACTACTATCACCACCCCTACCACCACCACTACCACCACCACCACAACCACTACTATCACCACCACCACCACCACCACGTCCGTCTGTCAGCCCGTCATAGAGTGTTTTGCCAACGTACTCAAAACCAAATAGATTTCTCCCCCCCTCTCCTATAATCAAAGGCTTATAATAATTATACTCCGGGATTAATCTGTCTCTCCCCCTCTCTCTTTCTTTCTCTTTCTTTCTTTCTTTCTTTTTCTTTCTTTCGTCATTTTTCTCTCGCTTTTATTGTTTTTTCTCTAAAACTTCATCTATCTCTCTCTCTCTCTCTCTCAAGGTACTAAGTTTCCTTTAATTACATTTCTATGATTCTAAAGCAAATTATGTTGAGAGAGAGAGAGAGAGAGAGAGAGAGAGAGAGAGAGAGAGAGAGAGAGAGAGAGAGAGAGAGAGAGGCAGGCGGGGGCCCCGGTCGTTTACACACTGCTGCTGGTAGTGGATCAAACACACGGCACCGGGAATATTTAACTTCTTCACAAACACACGAAATGATTATGATTTTGGACATGAGGTGGATGTATACAGTACATTAATTAGTACTACACCTATACTTTTACCTGGATCAAATACTGCCAGTTTGTCCATCCCTTTAAGGTAGGTTATGTGGGGGAGAGGGGAGAGGAGAGGGGAGAGGAGAGGGGAGAGGATATGTTAGTAGCGGAGGGTAGGTTGGTAGGGGAAGGTGGGGATGGGTGGGTTTTTTTTGTTTTTGGAGGGAGAGGAGGGACACGGAAGGGGAAAAGGAAGAGATGTGTGTGTAGGGGAGGGTAGGGGGGGAAGGGAAGGGTAGGGGGAGGATAGGGATGAGGTTCGTTTGTAGGGGGAGGGAGGAGGGGAAGGGGCATGGGATGGATGTGGGTGGGGATGGTAAAAGGGGCGGGGGTAGGTGGAGGGTAGGGAGGGGTTGTTTGTTGGAGGAGGAGGGGGGGGGAGGAGGGAGGAGGGGTGAGGGGAGAGGAGGGGTGAGAGGGGAGGAGGGGGTGAGGAGGGAGAGTAGGGGGGTGAGGGGAGGGAAGGGGTGAGGGGGGGGAGGGAAAGGGTGAGGGGAGGGAGGGAGGGGTGAGGGGAAGGGAGAGGATAGGGGTGAGGGGAGGGAGAGGAGGTGTTGTCTGGGAGGGGGGGGGGGATGTTTCTAGAAAGAGGTGGGGAGGTTCTGTACATGTGTGTGTGTATGAGTGTGTATGTGAGTGTGTATGTGTATGTGAGTGTGTATGTGTATGTGTGTGTGTGTGTGTGTGTGTGTGTATGTGTGTGTGTATGTGTGTGTGTGTGTGTGTATGTGTGTGTATATATGTGTGTGTGTGTATGTGTGTGTGTGTGTGTGTGTGTGTGTGTGTATATGTGTGTGTGTGTGTGTGTGTGTGTGTGTGTGTAAATGAACAAGTAAAAGAAGACATACACAATAGAATACTGAACATCTCTCTCTCTCTCTCTCTCTCTCTCTGTCCTCACTGTAATTTCTGCCATCATTACATAACATTACAAAACATAATTATATCAACCTCATTAAAAATAATATAAACAAACAAAATCAGTCTAGACATAATTTCGTCCATGACTAAAAAAAAATCCTCCCCCGCAGCCCCCTCCCCCGCAGCCCTCCCGCCCCCCTGCCCTCCGAAAAAACTATTTCATCCCCATTATTTTCTGAAGTCGGGTAAAAATGTTCCGTTTACTTCACTAATTACAATTAACGATTATGAGGCCATTCCCTTAATTAACTTTTGATAGTGATGAAATAATATTGTTAATTAAGACCTGAGTGATGATGACCCCTGAGAGGCCAGACCAGTGAGGTGTGTTGGACCCGAGATGAGAATTACCGAATGAAGTTAAAGATAAATTGAACTAAAATTATTGGAACACAAAAATAAAATTAAACTAAATTGAACTAAAAAAATAAAAAAAATCCCGAATAAGTTATAAACATCTAAAACTAAAAAAAAATGAAAACAAAATTAAAATAAAATTCATAAAAAAAAAGCTGAACTCAAACTCGAAATAAAATTAAATAAAATAAAAAATCAAATAAAAGTTAACTGAAACTATAAAGATTAAGAATAAAAAAAAATAGAGGTTCTACTTGAAATGAAACTAAAAACAAAACAAAAATAACGAAAAAAGAAAATATTTTCGTTCTGTGCATATTTTTGTGTATAGGTAGGAGGGGGGGGGTAGGTGGGGAGGTGGGTGATGGGAGGTGGGTGAGACGAGGGGTGGTGCCTATAAACCATAGTGGGTGGGGGAGGGGGAGAGAGGGAGGTGTGTGGGATGGTGGATTTGTCACGTCCTCATGTTGAGTGACACTTTCATGAATACATCATCATCTCCCTCACTCATCCCTCCCTACCCCCCTCCGTCCCCTAACCCTCCCCCTCCCACCCTCCATATTCTGCATGACCCATAGATAGAGAGAGAGAGAGAGAGAGAGAGGAGGCGTACTCCCTACAGCCTCCCTACTCCTCCCACGCCCCCCCACGCCTCCCACGTCCCCCCACGCCTAATGTTGAGTGAGCGAGTGTTGACTTGCTGTTGCTATCCGTAGAGTGAAGAAATGAACTCTTTAATACTACACACCTGTAATATCATACCTGTAGTAATAACACACCTGTAATAACATACCTGTAATAATACACCTGTTGTAACACACCCGGAGTAACATACCTGCAACAAGAACACGTCTGTATTAATATATCTCTAATAATAAGATACTTGTACTGTAATAACACACCTGCAACACCTGTAATAATGCCCCTGTAATAATAACACACCTGTAATAACACACCTGTAATAATAACGCACCTATAATAATAGCACACCTGTAATAACGTCCATGTAATAATAACACACCTTTAATAACACACCTGTAATAACACACCTGTAATAACACACCTGATTACTAAGACAATTATGTAATGGAATTCAGCAACGTTCATTACCTCTTACAACAATCAAGATTCTAATTTGTTTGTTTGTTTTGTTGTTTTAGATCATTTTCAAGGAAGTTAGTGACCGATAAATTCTGGACAGCTTCTCATTACTTCCTTCCAGACCAAAGGAAATAATTCTCATCTCATTAGCGTTTGTGTGTTTTTTTTTTCTAAATACTTAATCTCGTCTGGAGACTTAAGAGAATTTTTATGGTATGGATGATGACGGTAGTGTGTTTCAGGTTTATCTGGTAATGTCAACACAAGGTAAAGGTTTAGGTAGGTGATGGACTGTAGTTTTAGCGTGGTGACTATGTTGGTTTAACCCTTTGAGAGAATGGTTTAATTCTTTTATCGTTAATGGGTTAAATATTATTACCCTGCCAGCAACTGTGGGATATAGGGTATTGTTTTGGGTCCTGTCTGTCTGTCTGTCTGTCTGTCTGTCTGTCTGTCTCCCAAATGCTTCGAGAAAACGTTTGAGGATTTACATCAACTTTGGGCCGCATAGTAAACTTATGGTGCAAGTCGCGACCAATTGACCAAGTGGAGCATTAAAGAAAACGAGGACATGAGACAGTCTCCAGCGGTGACTACAGTAACAGCGTCACTTGTTCCGTATTTACGTTGTCATAGTAGCTGTTCATGGACAAGGTGTGACCCATTCAGATGGTGTTTAATTCAGAAATACAAGATCAGATTTAGTTATAAAGTAAAGGTAAAGTAATTCCCACCAGGTAACACTCATAGCTCTTGTCAGCAGCCTCGCCAATTTCACTCTACACATATTCTTACACTTGATTTTTTATGTTATTTTCTGTCTTATGAATACCAATTAAAATACTAATTAAAATTTACCTTGTGATGTATAAATATCATGAACATATTCTCTACAGTGTTTATAAACTGATGTGTGATGACCAGTCCATGTGGGTCATAAGTCATGAACATAATTATATACAACATTTGTTTACATACTCATGTGTGACCCGTGAGCTTATTAGGTGAGAAAAGTGTAAGGTGTGCCTCCAGCAGGCACCGTGGGCGTGTGGGCGACTCTGACGAAGGTTGTGTCTGCTGCAGGCGGCCGGGTCTCCGTCTGCATGGGCTGTGGGGCCGTCATCAACGACCAGTATATACTGAGGGTGGCACCAGACATGGAGTGGCACGCTGCCTGTCTCAAGTGCGCTGAGTGCCACCAGTTCCTCGACGAGACCTGCACCTGCTTCGTCAGGGACGGCAAGACCTACTGCAAGAGAGACTACGTCAGGTGAGTCCTCGAGGGGGGTGGGTGTTTCTCCTGCTGTGATTTTCCAACAATTTTGTTCCCCTTCTTCTTTCTCCTCTATCCTTCTTCTTCGTTGCCGTCGTCGCCATAAGCCGCATCTTACATCATCAAGAACGGCACGACCTACAGCAAGAGATTCTACACCAGGTGGGTCCTCCTTCCCCTGTATCCGTGAACAGAGTAGTGTAGACGGTGCTCGACAGGCCGATAGTGTTTATGATTTGGTGTAACAGCTTTAGGTATATACAGTTACTTCAACATGTGGGATTACCGTGAGTGTTGATCAATGGCGGTTCTTGGAGAGGGAAAGACGTATTAAGTTATGAGGTTACCTGGGTTGATTTAGACAGTCCTGCGTATCAGTACATGCTGGGGAGGCTGTAAGGGTGTGAGGGAGTCTGGGTGTGAGGGTGTCTGGGTGGGAGGCTGTAAGGGTGTGAGGGAGTCTGGGTGTGAGGGTGTCTGGGTGTGAGGGTGTCTGGGTGGGAGGGGTGTCTGGGTGTGAGGGAGTCTGGGTGTGAGGGTGTTTGGGTGTGAGGGTGTCTGGGTGTGGGGTGTGTCTGGGTGGGGAGGCTGTAAGGGGTGTGAGGGAGTCTGGGTGTGAGGGTGTCTGGGTGTGGGGTGTCTGGGTGGGAGGCTGTAGGGTGTGTGAGGGAGTCTGGGTGTGAGGGTCTGGGTGTGAGGGTGTCTGGGTGGGGAAGCTGTAAGAGGGAGTGAGGGGGTGAGGGGTGTCTGGGTGGGTGTGGGTGTCTGGGTGGGAGGCTGTAAGGGTGTGAGGGAGTCTGGGTGTGAGGGTGTCTGGGTGTGAGGGTGTCTGGGTGTGAGGGTGTCTGGTTAACGGTGTCTGGGTGAGAGGCTGTAAGGGTGTGAGGGATTCTGGTGTGACGGCACACCAAATGTTACTTCTCCATGACGCTTCAGTACAGGGACCTCTCTGTGTGGGTGGGGGGGGGGAGGGGGGAGGGAGGAGGAGGAGGGGGGGAGGGGGAGGAGGAGGAGGGGTGGGGAGAGGGAAGGGGGAGGGAAGGGCGGATAGGGGGTGGATGAGGACAGGTGACCACGAGTGCCTGGGTGTGTTGGTACGGCTCAGCTGGCCACACAGGTGCGTCTTACCTTACTATCAGATGATCAGGACTGGCCATGGTCGCTCTGAGCACCTGAGCTGGCGATCTCTCTCACACTAACTCTATACATACACACTCCCACCCCAACACACTCCTCCTCAACACACTCCCCACCCCAACACACTCTCCTCAACACACCCCACCCCAACACCTCTCAACACACCCCACCCCAACACACACTCTCCTCAACACACTCCCACCCCAACACACCTCCTCAACACACTCCCACCCCTTGCCTCCCCAACGCACCTCTCCTCAACACACTCCCACCCCAACACACTCTCCTCAACACTCCCACCCCAACACACTCTCCACAACACACTCCCCACCCCAACACACTCTCCTCAACACACCCCACCCTCACCTCCCAACACACTCCCACCCCAACACACTCTCAACACACTCCCACCACCAACACAACACACACTCTCCTCATCACCTCCCACCCCAACGCCTCTCTCAACACACTCCCACCCCAACACACTCTCTCAACACACCCCCAACCCACCACACTCTCCTCAACACACTCCCAAGCCCATCCCAAAGTACACTAATCCCCCCCCCACTCCCTCCCCCCACACATACACTCATCCTCTTCACACACACTTACCCTAAATTTCAAGTTAATGAATCACTTATCTAACTGAATATTTTTACGACACATCACCGGTTCACATTTCCTACCTGGTGACAAGTCTAGCGTCATGAAAAAGGTTAAATCCGGTAATTACTTTTTTTAATTTCTTTACTTACCTGAGTTTATTTACCTGAGTACACTTACCTGAGTATATAGCCAATAGTAAATTAAACTATTAAATATTTTATAACCGTGTTCAATGCCATTATATAATAAAGAAAATAATCTTCGCGTTTTTATACCATTAAAGTGAAATTAAGTGGAAAATATCGATTAAGAAAAATTGTAAAGAATTGTAAATCGATTTTGGGGAGATTTGTAATATATTTATTTTCTTTCGTTTTTTTTTATTTTTTTTCTCTTATTACTAACTTATGATTTTTTTTCTCGTTAATTTGGGATTTTTTTACGTTTAATAATTTTATATTTCTTTATTTACTAAGTTCGGATGTTTTTTTCGTTACTGAATTTTGGTCAAGACTTCACCAACTAGGTAGTTCACATCCTCTCCCCCCTTCACCCCCCACCCCCCCACCCCCCACTCCCCTGCGAGTTTCATAAAGTGAGTATTGTATATTTTGTATGTGTGTTTGTTAGATGAGGTGTGTGTATAGGTGTAGGGAAGTGTATGTGTATATCTTGGAACTTTCACACTCACACACACACACACACACACACATACCCCTCATAATTACAAAACTTCCCCCCCTCCTCTCCTCTCCCCTCACCTTCTTCCCCTCCCTAATTAACCTGGGGAGGAAGAAAGAAGGTATGGGGGGAGTAAGGGAGACGTGTGAGAAGGAGAGAGAGGGATGAGGGATGGGGGGAAGGGGTGGGGGTGTGGGAGGGGGTGTGGTGGGGTGTGGGGGGTGGTGTTAGATGAGGTACCGAGCCATAATAAAAACAGATACAAAGTGAGTGACAATAGTAAGATAGCTAAAGTAGGTGGATTGAAAGCCATCTGTTGCATATACTGTAAATAAAAGGTCAACCATGAAGATTAGACACCCTAACTTATTTCACCTGAAGATTAACCACCCTAAGGTTAACTGGTTGGGTTAGGTTAGGTAATATTAGGGCAGGTTAAATTAAGTCACGTTAGGTTAGGTTAGGGTTACGTTAGGTTAGGGTTACGTTAGGTTAGGTTAGGGTTACCTTAGGTTAGGGTTAGGGTTAGGGTTAGGTTAGGTTAGGTTAGGTTCAGGGTGTTTAATCCCCAGGTGATCCATTGATGAATATTATGGACAATATACCCGTAGCATACTTTTTCTTTGGGGGGGCGGGGGGCTATTGAGATAACTTAACGAGCCATTAGCTGTGTAAATCAGATGTAGTGGAAAGTTATCAGGACAGAGACGATAACACGAGACAAGACGGCAGATAACTTGACAGATAACAATACCCCCCTTCTCCTCCTATACCTTACCCCCCCCCTTCCATATAGGCATTAACACCTACTTGCCTGGGATAACACGAAGATAACTTAAGTCAATAGAGAGTCCGATGATGGCGGCTGATAACAAGTATGGTGGTTGATGGTGATTGTAGTGGTTGATGGTGATTGTAGTGGTTGATGGTGGTTGGTGGTATCGGGGCTAGTTGGTGGTGGTTGGTAGTTTTGGTTGACTGTTGGTAGGGAATGGTTAGTGATAGAGATTGATTGTGTAGGTGGTAGTAGTTGTGGTTGTGTTGGTTGGTGGTGATAGTTCTTATATTATTTTACAGACACACAGAGAGAGAGAGAGAGAGAGAGAGAGAGAGAGAGAGAGAGAGAGAGAGAGAGAGAGAGAGAGAGAGAGAGACAAAGAAAGAGAAAGAAAGAGAGAGAGAGAGAGAGAGAGAGAGAGAGAGAGAGAGAGAGAGAGAGAGAGGTCAGCTTCCTTATTATCTACTGACGTTATTCCCATTTTTCCTTCTTCTCTCTCCTTTCCTCTTCTCCTCGTGGTTTTATCTTCTTTCTTCTCTCCTATCTTCATCTTTTAGTTCTTCTCTCTTCTATTTTCTTTCCTCCTTCTATTATTTACCTTCACTTCTTATCTTCATCAACGTATAACAAAAGTAAACATCCAGCCTCTCTCTCTCTCTCTCTCTCTCTCTCTCTCTCTTCTCTCTCTCTCTCCCATCCATTACAATCATCATAACTAATTACTCAACTCAATCCTGTACACCTCCACCTGTATAAGAGTAAACTACTAACCTTCCCTCCCTTTCCCTTCCCTTCCCTTCTGATCAATAACATAATCCTAGTGAAATTGTCATTCATCAATCCAATCAAATCATATCACCACTCAATAGGGATTTAGGGTGCGTATCTATCTGCCTATTCATTAATTCTAATATATTATTCCATCCCTTACCTAACTATCTTCCCCCCCCTCCCTCCATTACTCTACTGTGGATAGAATTGATGAACTGGGTTTTGTTTGTGTTATCATAGTTATTCAATCATCTAACAATATCATAATTATCCATCAATTGATCAATCCATCAATTATCCCTTCTCTCCTTCCCTTCCTCCCTCGATGGACAAAATTGACTTGATTAAGCGTTTGCGTTGCGTGATTAGGGTCAATCATCTGTTTAGAATGCGTCATCGTGTATGTCAATCAGCTGTTTAGATTGCGTCATCGTGTAGTCAATCAGCTGTTTGTGTTGCGTCATCGTGTAGTTAATCAGCTGTTTAAGTTGCGTCATTTGAAGTCAATCAACTATTTAGGTTGCGTCATTGTGTAGTCAATCAGCTGTTTAGATTGCGTCATCGTGTCTAAGTCAATCGGCCTACCTCATGATACCATCGACCAGGTGTTGGATGGGAGTTGAACCTTGATTGATTTGGTTAAAAACACCTGGGGATTACCTGAGCCTGGAAGGGGTTGGGCAGGTGAGAAAGACAGACAGACAGACAGAAAGAGGAAGGCCGATAAGAGAGAGAGAGAGAGAGAGAGAGAGAGAGAGAGAGAGTAACAACAAGAGACAAACGAGAAATAAGAGACTAGAATTATGAACAAGGGAATTTAAGAGGAGGCGAAAGAGTAATTGAAATAGGAGAGGTGAGAAAACGTAGATGAAAGAAGGAATGAAAGAGGGGGAAACTCTAATAAGGAAAGAGAGAGAGATTGGGTTTTAGGAGAAGGTAATTGAAGTAGAAGAGAGAGGAAAGAGGAGAGGGGAAAGGAGGCAGGAGAAGCGGAAGGAACAAGAAGAATCAAACGAAACGGGAA